TCGGTTCTACGGTCCGGGAGATTGAGGGCGATCGCGGGGGGGGGGTGGGGAGACATTCTTTCTGACTTTTACAATTGGTTTGGGTGCTGTCCACATCTTCAAGGCTGAGGCACCCAAAAAAGCCAACCCTGCTAGTTCTTCTATTGAAAAATGAAACTTCTCCCCAAAAATGTACTAGCTGGCAGAACCAAACACACCCTTGATCAGTTTTAATAGACTCATGCAGAGATCCAAGTCATGGCTGTGAGACTAGAGGCTTTTATTCTTCAAAAGCCTTGCGACACAAGTCACTGTAGGGCAACAGGTTACAGAAGTCCCAGTTAAGCATTCATTTACTCAATAGAGAGAGTAATTGGAGATGAGTTACCCAGTGAAAGAGGGAAGTTTGTCTTTGCTGTAGGATAAAAGCACACAAGTGAGCTGTTAGCACAAGTCTACTGCACTGCAGCAAGTTCACACTACCTTATCTCCAGTCATTTGTGTCTCCATACCCTCATTTGTTGCAAAAGAAGAGAGCTCACAAATTTACATTCATGCTACAGAAGGCAGAAAGATTCATATCTGAAGTGTATCAGAATTACAGCTGTAGACAAAAGTCAGCTGTTTGGAGACACATAAGAAAACCTCAGTAAATGCCCTGCCACCTATAAACTCTTCAAATTAGGATAACTGCTTTTGTCCTCAAACGCGTTTCACAAGCTGTATGTTTGGGGTTTTTTTCCCCTCTGATGCTGGATTTAATAATTTAATACTTAATAAAAAATACTGTTATACCTATAAAAAAAAATGGAGAAGACTCCTTCCACTAAGCAAAGGGATAATCTACCTTGACACATATGCATCTTTTAGAGTTCCTTTCCTGAAAGGTATTTTACCCTGGTTCATATTGTAAGTTGACTCCCCTGCATTTCCCCCTCACTTAAAAGCCAGTTCAAGAACTACAACTTTTAGAATGTTCAAGCAAAATAATTTAAAGAGTATTGATTTAATTAAAAAAAAACCAAAACTGAAGGCAAGTTAGATCCCACAGCCACCCTGAACAACCAGATAAAATAAGACCAGCAAAGGGGGGTGGTATTTATAGCAGCTTCACGCAGAGTGCAAGGCTTCGGGGAGTCGTGTACATGCCAGAACTGTCAACCATTTCTCCAAGAGGTTACACCACTACATTGCTATGTATGCTACTCCTCCTACAGTGAGGCTCAATGGAGGCACAGTCAAGAGAGAAATTTACTACCAAATTCCTTAAATGAAAGGGAAATAGTGCTGTTCTATATAAAGTTAATTGGCCCTGCTTCTTAAGTGCTTGCCTGTGGTTTCAGGTTAGACAGTAGCTGGCTCTGAACACTACTCCATGGGTTAGCAAGTCATACATACATTTAGAGATGACTTAAGCTGCTTACCTGGACTTGCTGGGGTTGCTGAACCTGTATCTGCTGCTCTGGCTGAGTTTGCTGCTGGACACTGGTTGTCACAGGACAAGCAAGTTCAAGCAAAGACCCAGCCACCTCTGTGCTGTCCGTGTAAATGCAGTTGCCACCCTGCTGATACACCATTGTGGTGGTGGCTGTCTGCTGAAACTCCTGCAGAGCTTCCGGCCCCTTGGAAGCAAGGGAGTCCAGAAACTCCTTCATCCTGTGCTGGGGGATCGTTCGTGCCTTCACACGGATGTATTCTTCAAAGGAAATGGTGTTTTCCAGAGAATTATTCATATTGCAAGGTCCTTAGGGTTCCTTAAGGAAAGAGAAAGTAAAAGTCTTAACTACAGCACTCCTTTGATGCAAGGATATTCCTAAGTCCAGTAACTGATTTCGCATACCGAGTACCATAGAAAAACTAGCAAACATGCACAGCCAGATGCCCGAGACAGATGCTTTAGTTTTACGAGGCATCTTGTGCTACTACACATTTCTCAGATTAACCCTTAGCAGCTCAGGGAAGTCTGAACGATGACCAGGTGTAACTGTGGTACTATTCAAAGAGCTCACTGCCATGTAAAATCTTCTAGCACTGTACTTCACCCAGACCAGGCGAGTCCCGTAACAGACAAAATCAAGTCATACATTTGGTTCGTTTGCAGCATGCAGTATTAGTGAGAGAAGCTTAGAAATCAATATCTGTGGCCCTGCTTTGCAGCCACAGAGGTGGGAGAACTGAGCAGTATGTTCTATCAGGCCATGCAGTTCTATTCTAGGCAGCTAATGGGAAGCACAACGGAAGAGCAACAGATGCAGCATTCAGCCCATTGCTATTAGGACTAGGACAGCCTTATCGATTTGAACATAGCAAGCAAAAGGAGAGTGCTGGAATGAAGCGATTCCTCAAACAGGGAACTACACACATGGAGAAGCAGAGCTCTGGAAATTACAAAGGCAAGAGCAGCATCAGTTCTTTATGTAATTTTAATATAGGAAGAGGTTAACATGAAACATGCCATGTATGAAGACAAAAGAGAGAAAAAGAAATCAGATGATCAGGGAGGAAGTGAGAGTAAGGGGAAAAAAAAACCAAAACAAAAAAAGATGACTCCACCTGAGAACATTAGAAAGCTCTAGGGTATACTCTGACAGCATTCTTCTCTTATTGACTTATCCTGTTTAAACCCACAAATTGTTTCTGCAGTGAGTATACCGGTTGTTTCTAAGGCACTAATTAGTCTTGATAAAGGATAAATAGATTTGAGCTATAACACTACCAGATACTGAGATGGTTGTGAAAAGATGTGAAACAGCACAAGATTAGGACTAGAAGAGGTGATTCAGTACTACTAGATCAAGCTGCGGAAAGGAGGAAAAAGGGACAAACATCACTATATGAACATTATGACTGCAGTTCTAAAGAGGGTAAGTACAAAAGCAGAATCTTTTACATCATTTTACCATGATTTAACAAAGTGGAACTGAGACAGAAATATGTGGTTGAACATAACACTGCAACAGCCTTCGTGAAAATGCGAGTTAGTTCTAGGCTCTCAGTGGTGCCCAAGCATATTCCACAAGTCTACCTTCAATTCCCACCAAAATCAGTGGGAGCTAGAGCAAATTCTAACCGTTCTTTACTGTTACGTGACAGCAGTCTAAACACACAAGAGATTTTGTTTACATGGAGGAGGTTCATGGCTAGTGCATTGGACCAGGCTCACAGGAGAAAGATTGAATATCAAAGGTAAGGGGAACACACACGAGGCAACTTGCGCTGTATCTATAGTTTCTGGCATTATTAAGCAACATTTGTTGCTGTATGAGATTACTACAGAAAATATTCTCAAAACATGCATCAATGTTTAGTAAAAAGCACCAGCTTGCAGTGTTCACTTAGTAAATCCAACAACACTGCAAAAATCAGCATACAGAAGCTCCTGTAGAGCCCACAGCTGGACAGAAAAACAATTCTCCTGCCTTTCAGAGATTCTGATTTGACACGTTTTCTAGCCAGCTCCCCTCAATAGAGCCAGTAAGACTATTCACTTAGCTGCTGAGTGAGGCTTCCTCCAGGAGACACCCAAGAGTACTCTACACCTCTACAGGACACATTATTAACCCTTTCCCAGGTGACCATATGTCCAGGGTGAAACCAACAGAGAACAACCTTGTTAATGCATCCTCAGTGACTCAGGCAGGACCTACACCAGGCACACTCAAATGCATCTTGCATCTAATTGCAAGATGCTCCGTTACATTGTCTGAAGCTGGAAAACAGATTTTGAGTGATTAACTTGTCCCAATTTTCTACTTGGAACTTGCAAATATTTGACTTCAGTACTACAGCGAGGCTTTCAGAAGATCACGATCATTTTGCATGTCCATTCTGAGGTGCACCAGCAGACACAGCTTTCAGAGGGAAGACGCTTCTGAGGAATAAGCCTCAAGGATGCTGCGCTGGGAACCCAGATGTGAACACTACAGGTGCTGTTTGAGATTATATGCTCTTTGACAGCTAGCTGCTGCTGAATAGGATGGGCTCACCTCTCAGCAAAGGTCCTACATTCTTCCTTGCTCCTGCATTGGTGCTTATTATGTTGTAACAGCTCAGGGAATAGCTATTCACCTTCTGTTAATCTTGTCAAGGGAGAGAGCGAGGAGGTCAGCAGGCCCACTGTTTTCAACAGCAGCTACTTCTTAGCCCTCACTTTTACTTCTGGAACGCCAACCCTTCTGTCAAGAGCTCCTCACGGGTACATCGTGCTCCTGTGTAGCAGAGACCAGAAGCCACCAGAAACCCAGACGCACAAGCAGCAGGCCCAAAGATCAAGAAGAGGTCCACCACCAAATCATCACTTACCTCTTCCAACCACCAGGAAGCCCAACAAACACAGCATTAATTTCTTAGACACAAATCCTTCACACTGCTCGGCTGCTCCATCTTAATTAGTTCTTTTTAGCATCAAAATCAAGCGCCTACTAGGCCAGTCTTCCGCTACTAGCAAATCTTCCTCTGTCACAAGCTGTCAGAGGGAATCTCTCTTTTCCTCTCTTCTAGCAAGGAAAAATCTTCCTTTATATTTGCTTGAAGTTACTACACTAAAAGCCACTAATGCCTAAAACAGTGAAATGCTCATCCTAGCCACTACAGCACTCGAAGTCCCAAGCATGGGTCAGAACCCCACTGCACCACATGGTATTTGTTCCTGCTCTGGAAGAGCAGCAGGATCTTCCTTTGGTTTTCTCCAGTGCTCTCCAACTCTGGCAATCAGAAAGGAGCTAAAGACACTGCAGGTTACAGTGCAGGCCGGATTAAGTGTCTCCCCGAGTCGTTCCTGCCAGTTTGAAGCCTGCTTGGGGTTATTTAACTAAAAGCACCGAGCCACTCAAAACTGCACTTCACAAAAACCTATGCAGCAGCAGAGGTACCAGGCCTAGATGAAGATTCAGGAAAGTAACGCTGTACTCACAGAAATTTTATTTATTAAAACTAAACCTACCTGCATTTATGACAGAAAACCTCTTTAAGGCTCAAGTGTGCATTCAGCAGGCTTTTGTAGGGCAACATACACAACTTGCTGCTGCAGTCACCACTTTTACTGTTAGTTATTAAAACATACTAATTTACGCATTCCATTTATCCTGTAGACACGCATTAGAAACAGCAAACACCCATCCTCACTAGATCTTGGCAGCATGTTTTTAATACTGCATTTTAAAATAAAAAAAGAGCATCCAGGCAATTAGCTTTCTCCGATAAAGGGAAGTAATTCCTCCCTGTTCAGCATAACTGCATTTTTTTCCAGGAAATGAGTTCAAGAAACTCTTTGAAGATCATGAGCACATACGGTTAGTTCATAAAACTTAGACTGAGGTTACTGAAAACACACACACAACTTGCAGCATGTGGACAATCTGGACTCACCAGTCACCATGTTGCATGTATTTCTGCTGCTCTTGTCCTGAGCTCTTAGACTTGTAACGTTCTGGAGAAGACAGAACAAAGAAGCCCTTTCCATCCCCAGTTCCTCTTTCTTTATTAAAGCCATTTTATTTTTAGTATGTATTCCATTAAGAAAAAAAAAAAAATCAGGAAAGAAAGATATTATCATCCACGCAGCTAGAGGCTCCTACTGAAGAATTGCGAGATGCCCAATTCCTAACCAGTGTATCCCTCAGCCTGATAAGTGTGACTAGGAACGAGTGTGTGAGCACATCTGTCACGGGGCGCAGAGCGCTCGCACCGTGCGGTGACAGGCGCAGCGCAGCCGGTGACACCGGAGTTACTGGAAGACAGAACTGAGAACAAGGCAGCAGCAGTGACCGTATCCAGAGGTTCCCCCTGCTCCCCCCGCAGGTGTTCCCGGCCGAGCAGCCGCGGCCCGGCGCTGCCCCGAGGCCCGGGACAGACGGGAACGACACAGACCGCCCCGCCACCCAGCCCAGACGATGCGAAGCTCCATATTTAGCCCCTGAGATCATCGGCCGCGGCTCGGCCTCTCCCCTGCTCCAGCGGGGGATGCGGAGCCCGCGGGGCTTCCTCCTGCGGCAAGGCCGGCCCCCGCCCGCGGGGAGACCAGCGCTGCCCGCCTCCGCTCCCCGCCGCCGCCTTTGT